GACAAGAAAATCAGTTCCTTCTTTTGCAAAAACTACTCTAGACAATTCAAACTGTCTCTCGTCTCTACCACCAAACACCTGCTAATATGATTCCTATTACTTTTTTTTTCCCCAAAACGAGCTATGGGAAGAATGAAAGGAGAGGAACTCTGGGCAAAGGCTTCCAAAAGGAATAGCAATGCAATATGTCTGAACAGTCTAGAATTAAAGGCATGAACTCTAATGCCCTTGTATGCCTGCATTTGCCACGTGTCTGGATTGTCAGCTGAGGAGAATGCACTTGAAGCTGTGTGGATTGCCCCCCCATTTTAGCTACATCTTCCAGTCCCAGCCCCCATCTCAAGGTAATGGGAGAGCTAAGCAATACGCCCCACTTCGCTCAGAAGGTCCTTCTGAAAACCACTGGGATCAAAAGTTGCTCACCTTTGTTAAGGCTGTGAGCAGTTAGTTCTCTCTGAGTCCCAATCCCAAGACTGTCCGTGCAGGTGCCTAGCAGATCACCTCTCTCCGGAAGTAGCTAACATGGGTTCTATCGAAAAGGGAGGTCATTCACTCTTCGTAAACACTTGCCGACACATGACCCTGCATGGCGTGAGGCGAGCACACGAGGATACAGAATTGACCTGTGCCTACCCTCAGTGACCTCCCAGTCAAGCAGGGGAAGCCGCCAGGCAACAGTTTCACACATCGGCCCACCATAAACCCTTAGCTATAACCCATCAGGCACCATGCTACATCCTGGGGATACAAGGATGGACAACACCAAATCCAGCCCTCATCACCTCAGAGACAAACAGGAGAACAACGACAATAAGTGTTTCCCTGCTGTGAAAGAGGTCTGCTTAGGAGCTGAGGAAATTCTGAAGAGAGCGATCCAAAGGGAGTGTTGGTCATCAAACCCTTGCGCCGCCGAGAAAACCCTGGGAAACCACCAGTTGGATGTAGGCAGCAAAGGCCTCAAAATGAAAGCATGAACTTTGTCTTTGGCTGGTAGATCAGATTCTTTGCAGGCTACAGGGCCTCAAGCCAGTTTCTTAGAGCCTGGGGGCAGGAAAAGGGCCTTCAAGGGGAAGGTTTTGCCTGAAGGACTTGCCCACACAATTGTGACACAGACTGCAAACAGATTCTTCCTCCGGAGCCTCCGCCAATGTTCTGCTCCCGCCATGATCTCTATTTGTGAAGGCCTTTCCCAGAAAGAATCCTAAACCAATTCATTCCAATAGGTGAGTACCTGGGAATGGCAGTGTCTCCGACACTTGCTTGAAGAGAAGAATCCCCCTGGGGATTCCTAATTGTACTGTTGATTCTTCTACTGAGGGGGACTAGATGCCAGGGGAACCAACCACGTGATTGGAAGCTTGCCCCTCTCAGTCCCACCCCACTGACCTCTCTGGACCGGAGTGGGGCTGGAAGTTGAATGAAGCACCAATGGCCAATGACTTAATCAGCTATGCCTACGTATTGAAGCCCCCATAAAAACCCCAAAGAAGAGGGTTTGGGGAGTTTCCAGGTTGGTGAACCAGAACACTTCCACATGTCACCATTGTGGACCCCAAACTCCACGGGGACAGACGCTCCTTTGTTCAGGACCTCTCCTTACCTATCCTTTCACATCCTTTGCAAGAAGCTGGTAATCGAGGGAGTAAACTGGTTTCCGGAGTCCTGTGAGCTGCTTCAGCACATTAACTGAACCCAGGGAAGGGGGCGTGAGCACCTTTGATTTACAGCCAGTTAGCAAGAAGTACAGGCAACAACCTGTACTCGCGATTGGTATCTGAAGCGGAGGGCAGCCTTTTAAGACGGAGGATGGAGGCCTGACCCTGGGGGTTCTGATGCTATCTCCAGGTAGATAGTGTTACCCTTAAAAAAAAATAAAACGACCCATTATTTTACCAGCAAAAGGGGGTTTTATTCAAGAATAGCAGAGAACTGCAACCTGGGACAAGCAAGCTATGGCAAAACCATAGGCAAGCCTAGAGTAGGAAGGAAGGACGGTAGGGGAAAGGGGGCAGTTGTAAACAAGAAGCCCATTGGAGTAAACTGGGATTTGGAAGTGTAGTGGCTTCTCATTGGCTGGGCTGTCGCTGGTGGGGAGGAAGCATTCCTTCTTCCCCCTGGGCTAGTAAAATCCCACCTGCAAGTTCCTTCTCTTCATGCTGGTTCCGTCATAGACCAAGAGTGTCCGGTGTCGAGAGCCGCCCCTGCCAAACCCCCTGACTCCATTTTAGTGAGGTTTCCCCTGTATTAAATTTCACAATAATGTCAGAATTGGGATGAACTCTAGGATGGTGTCAGAGAATTGTTTGGGTGGCATAGAAAACCCCATACCTTTAGAACTGTTGGGGCAGAATCTTACCTGGGAATTTCTATTTGGTAGGTTTGGGGAGGTTCTGGGAATGTTTCAAACAAGGGCTCCAGGTGATTCTCCCCTTCAGGCCAATTTGGGAAATCCTGATGTAAAGCATCACCCTAGGAATTTGCAATGAGGGCTTGATTCCTAATGTGAACTGTCAAACACTCATACCTAAGCAGTAGAGTGTAAAGGCTTTTCTTTTCTTTTTTTTCTTTTTTTAAAGAGAGAGATCACAAGTAGGCAGAAAGGCAGGCGGGAGTGGGGGGGTGTGGAGAAGCAGGCTCGCTGCTGAGCAGAGAGCCCAATGTGGGGCTCAATCCCAGGACCCTGAGATCATGACCTGAGCCAAAGGTAGTGGCTTAACCCACTGAGCCACCCAGGTGTCCCAAGGCTTTTAATCATAAAACAGACATTACATTTGAAGAGCATCCTATCCTTACATTATCGCAGATACTATAAATATCACCACACTAGAATCTCCTAAAAGCCTAGTCAACCGGGTAGGCCACGGATTCTTGTGCCCCTCATTTTAGGGGCAAGGAAACCTGCCAGAGTGCAGCTTGTAATGTAACTGGCCAAAAAACAAATACACACTAAACGATGCAAGAATAACACAAAGCGGGGTGCCTGGGTGGCTCAGTGGGTTAAAGCCTCTGCCTTTGGCTCAGGTCATGATCTCAGGGTCCTGGGATCGAGCCCCACAATGGGCTCTCTGCTAGGTGGGGAGCCTGCTTCCCTCTCTCTCTGCCTGCCTCTCTGCCTACCTGTGATCTCTCTCTCTCTGTCAAATAAATAAATAAAATCTTTATTAAAAAAAAAGAATAACACAAAGCAAGATGTCTACTTTTGCAAAAGAATACCTTGTAACCTGGGGTACAGGGCCTGAGGAGACCCGGAGCCCAAGGGTAGCCTGAGGCAAATAGGGGTCCACAGCCTCTTGATGGAGGAGATATTTCTGGCCTTTGGAGACTCGGTTCTTTTCTTTTCTTTTTTTTTTTTAAGATTTTATTTATTTATTTGGCAGATGGAGATCACAAGTAGGCAGAGAGGCAGGCAGAGAAAGAGAGAGAGGAGGAACTAGGCTCCCTGCTGAGCAGAGAGCTGGATGTGGGGCTCGATCCCAGGACCCTGGGATCATAACCCGAGCTGAAAGCAGAGGCTTTAACCCATCCAGGCGCCCCCAGAGACTCGGTTATTTTCTGTGTCACCATGAAATCTGTCTACAGTGGATTCTCATGTGAACTGTACCAGTTACATTTTCCACAACCACATATTATACCACAAGCCTGTCTGACCTGCAGGGGAAGTCCACGCTTTGGGTCTTTTGCAATCGCAACGCTCTGCTGTCTAACCAGTTTGTGTTTGCAAAATGGTATGTGGCTGGGCCAACATGAAGATGTTCCTGCTGAAGCCTGGCCTGGGCTCCTTTCTGGGCCTACTTAGGGCTTCGGATACCGTGGAGCTGAAGGATTTCATGTCTGCCAATTATACGGATGCCTTTTCTGGATTAGACAGTGTGCTAGCAGCCGGGGGTTGCTTTGAGGAATTCATAGGTAGGAGAGAAAGGATGGCAGAACACACAAGTAGTGATTACCTAAGTCAGGAAGAACTGCAAAGCAGAATAAGCTGGAGTTAATAGTTCTCATGGAAGATCCTGGAAGTTTTGGTGGAGGAAGTAGCATTTCCAGTGGGCCTTGAAAGGCAGGTAGGTATTCCAAAGACAGAGAAGGGAATCAAGGAGCAAAGGCATCAGAAGCCTGAGCCCAAGGGCGAGCTACCTGCAGCCCACTGCTCGTGGGGGGCAATCCAGGGTAATTCTTTGGGCCTTCTACTTGTAGGGAGGGAACATGTGGCTTTCTGAAGAGCATTAACATTTCATTCTGAGTATTCCAGCTTTAATGCTATTCCAAGGAGCCTGTGGACATTACTTTCAAGGGGGAGTATTTGGGGCGGGCAGCCTGGTCGCCAGCCCCGCTCTCTTCCCGGGAGGCCTAGTTTTATGGCGTTAGAGTACTGGGGGCATCAGAAGAGGATTACAGAGGACCTTCTATACCATGCCGAGGGACTGGAGGCACTTCTGAGACATTGAAAGGTTTTAAGCGGGGAAGTAAGAGGTCACCTGTACATCTTAGATAAATCCCTCTGGTTGCCATCTGGGAGACGGTGTGGACAAAGGCAAGCGTGGAAGCAGAGAGAGCCCAACCAGGAGGCTACCGCGCAGCTCCAGGCAAAAAGTCGTGGGGCCCGACACAGACTCTGCAGCCCTGAGGAGGGAGTGGAGAAAGGTGGTTAATAAGCAATGTCTGGGCGGTACAGTCAACTAGCTTTGGGTACGCCCTGTATGCATGTGTGTGCGTGTGTGTGTGCGCGCGCGCGCGTGTCTGGGGGAAGTAGGGGGAGGAGGGAACCGAGAATGACTGCCCGACAAGTGCAAAGAGGAACGACCCTCAGTGAGGGTCTCCGGTCTCCTCAAGGGGCGGCGGGAGGGGACGGGAGGAGAGTGCAGAGGAGGGAAAGCTCCGGGACAGCCGGAAGAAGTTTGGAGCACGAAGGACAAAACCCGAGGCCAGGTGCGCAAAGAGGCTCCGCCCCCATGCCGGCCCCGCCCCCGGCTCCACCTCCTCTCCCTCTTCCCACCCACCCCCAGCCGCAGCTCATCCTCGAGGGCGGAGAGAGGTGGCATTTGAGTCCTCCGGTATCCCAGCAGGCAGTGCAGCCTAGAGACGCTGACAAAGGACCGGAGCAGCAGTGGCAGCTGCTTTCCGAGGAGCCGGTGTTGCCGAGGTGAGAGTCCCCCCCCACCGTCCCGTCACCCACTTCCTCCGACTTCGGGAAGACGTGGAAGTTACGTTGCCGAGAGACCCCGCGCAGAGAACGAGCCGTACCTAGCCCCCGAGCTTGGCTCTGTGACTGACAGCGGGGCTCGGCGGCGCCCGGCTGCGGGTGGGAGGCGGGGAGCGGGCAGATGGAGCCCTTTCTGCCCCATCTCTGACTGTCAGCCGCCCCGCCGCCCGCGGAGCCCGGCGTCAGGGTCCGGCCGGCCCGTGCGCGCCTTTGCCGTGCCCAGGCGGAGGCAGCAGGCTCGGGATCCCTCTGGTGCCCGCCCGGCAGAGTTCGGTTGCCCTGGGGATGAGGCTCCAGGGACAACTCTTCGGCGGATGTGGCGAGGAGGGCTAGGGGAGGGAGGCTTGACTCCCCATATGGGGTGACACCGTCCTCGCCCTAACTCCTCCTCCTCCTCCTAACCCGGCCGGTACCCGCCCTCCCCCCGCTCCCCCGGCGAGCAACTGGGAGGAAATCGGCGGGGCTGAAGCGAGGCGTCCCGGGATGGCTGGAGGGAGGTGAAAGTGGGGTGGCGAGGCAGAGAGGGAGAGCGAACGCCTTCGTGGAATAGTGGCGGGGGGTGGCAGGGGTACGTGGCCTGCATCCGTCCCGCTTCCTGTACCTCCGCACGGATCCTGATGGTTGCACCAGCTGCTCGGCTGTAAACAGGCTCACATGACCGGTTTCACATGGAGCCGGCCGGTGTGGGGACGAAGGCTGGAAAGCAGGGCCCCGATCAGGTGGAGCGCCAGTCCTAGGACGGACCGTTTCACACTCATCTCCGGCCTTCCAGCTCTTTTTCAATGTTCCGCGGTTTCCCCTCTGGGTAAACTAACTGACATCTGCCCCTTCCGGACTGAAGTTGTTTTTCTGCCCCAGTAGAATCCAAGAGACCTCACCTCAGGGAGGAAGAGGGCAAAATAATAAATGAAAGCGGTCCCGGAATTTTTGACCTTTGAGGGAAATAAAGAGATGGCCCCAGACCTGGAAAATGGGATCCTTTGGCTCTTGCTTAAAAAGCAGCCCTGTTCTATTGGAATGCATTGCGTTCTTAATGTGAATTCCAGAGAGAAGGGGAAAAGTCTACTGTTTCAGTCAGGGCGCACCTGGAATTTAATATATTCTTGATGATGAAAATCTCATCTATGTTTCCTTTAAGTGCTTGGAAATCTGCCTATAAAATGCTATATACAGGATATTGACTAGGGAGTGGACACCAACTTTAGATAACTGTATATTTGTGGTAGAAAGCAATGGGAGGTTTGGAAAACAGGAAACGGGCCAAATGTGCCTTTCAAGTTGTTCACGTGTACATGCCCAACAGGATACAAGATTAAACTAGTTTCTGAAGCATTTCTAGAACTCTCAAAATACAAGATTTACTCGGATACCAGGATATTTGAAAATTTGGAGTTTCTCAAATCTGTAAGGGGTAGTGGTGATAGATTGCCCTCACATGTAATATATAATTAGATGTAATGGGCAATATTTAGTATAAAGTTACCCCTTTGTAGGTGAAGACCGAAAACAGAAAAGCTTATAAAATAATGCATGTTTCTCCCCTTGAATTGTTCATGACATTTTCTTCCCAATTTTTTAAATTTTTAATTGTTTTCTCCTGAAGCTTTGACATTTAATTTTAATTAATTTTTTTTTGAGAGTGTGGGGTAAGAGGGAGAGAGAATGTTAAGCAGGCTCCACACGCAGCATGGAGCCCAGGGTGGGGCTTGATTTCAGGACCTTGAGATCTGACCTGAGCCAAAATCCAAGAGTCAGATGCTTAGCCAGCTGAGCCACCCAGGTGCCCCTTAACTCTAGTTTCTGAGAAACAATTAAGAAACTACAAGAAAATCTTCCCCATCCTCTAATAGCCCAATAAAGTAAGTAATTTGCTACTCTTCTTTTTCTGTTTTTTTTTTAAATGTTTAAAATGGAAAATAGAGGCATTTTAAATATTGTCTAAAATTTAAATGGGCAGATGATCTGTGTTGCTCTGAATCTTGTTCTGCTGCCTGTAGTACTCTAGAGAATCTTGTCCTACAATAAATAGATGAAGTGATTTACTCTTTGAGGCTTTCTGTTTCCTCATCTGTAATATGAAAGTTTTGTTTTCATCTCCAGGGTCCCTCATAGCTCTCAAATTCCATAAAAACAGTGCAGTTTTTGATTGGGGAATACTCTTGGACAAAATAAGAGACTCAAATTAGCCAAGTTATTGGTATCAGCTGGAAGAACACGCAGTCCGTCACAAGAGCTATCCAGAGCCCTAATAGAAATAGGGATTGTGCCCTGCAAAATTCTCATTAGGTAAATTAGCCATATGGGTTGATCTGGACCCGTCTCTCCTCTCAATCAGGAAATGGAAGATTGCTTCAGCTGAATCCTGCCTCCCAAATTAGAAAGTACAATTACACCCGACTTCCTTGACCTTTGGGGCATAGCAGAGTGATTCTTTCATTCATCCCAGCTTCTTCCTGAATTAAGTGGGCTGTGTGATCCGAGATGAAGTGAGGAGGAAAAGAAAGCTCTAGCAGGCTCTCACTTTGGCCGTGCCTTGGTTAGATCCAGAACTGATGCCCTTGTTTCAGCTTCACAGCATTTGAGATTTAATTTTGCACGCGCGCCCTGAAATTGTCAGTCTCAAGGATTGATTCCCCCTAACGCAGTTCACAAAACATTTTTATGTTCATATGAATGCCGGTTGACTGACTGCCCGTGAGAAGTTGAACGGCCAAGCCGACCAAGAAGACTCGTGAATAAGCCCGGGCACCCTTTGCTTTTGACGCTGTGGAAGCACAGACCTTGTCCTCCATCTCCCGCCTTTTTCTAGGGACTGTGTGGAGCACTTCTTTCTTGAAACTCCTAGTGGTTGATACCTTTGACAAGGTGACAGCTTTTATGTGAAAACCCTCAGATAGCTATTTCCGAGTCACCTGATTGAATCTGGGCCACCTGTAAAACCTCTCTAAAATCGGTTTCCTCTCTATTCCTGTGGCCTTCGTCTAGGCCCTCACTTCATGCCGTGTTGATTCAGGGGTGACTTGGTTTTTCCTGTAACTGCTCCGGAGTCCGCTCTTGTGCTTAACTGGTCAGATTCCCACTTCGGATCTTCTCCAGTCCGGTCTCTGCTTAAGACCCTTCAGAAGTTTCCAACCATCACCCACAGCAGTGGTTCTCAAGGTGCAGTATGCCTTAGAATCATCCAGAGGGCTTGTGAAAACACAGATGACTGGGCCCCGAGCCCAGGACTTCTGGGGCTGCAGGTCTAGTCTGGGACCCAGGAATTGGCTTTTCTAGCAAGTTCCCAGGTGAAGCTGCTGCCGCTGGTCCAGTACCACATTTTGAGAACTACTGGCACCCAGAAGCAAGTCTCCACCCCCGAACTTGGCTTACAGCATTTTTTCACCATCTCTCGCCACTCCTCCATACAGGCTATTTTTTAACCATGTGCTGTGCCAAAGCTCATCTTAAGAGTCCCTTTCATGCATCTACACATCTTCCTGGAATTCACCCCCCCACACTCCTACTGCAAACTTCTATTTAAGGCAGCCTGGCACTTTCTTTATGCTCCTAGAGCTTTCTTATCTATCAGCATTTTAACACTTGTCACATCTTATCCTAATTACCATGTATATCTGTTTTTCCTGCTAGACTGAAATTTTCAAGGGCTGAGAAAATGTTTTCATCTTTTCTCCATATTCCTCAGCACCGGGCCTAGCACATAATACGTGCTCAGTTAAGGTTCTGTGAGTGAACTTGTGATTCTAAGACTCTGGAGAGGGCCATAGGTAGCAACATATGTCTGTCTGTCTTATTTTTAAAGATTTTATTTGTTAGCACACAAGCGGGGGTGGGTGGTGGTGGTGGTGGTGGTGGTGGTGGCGGCGGCGGCGGCGGCGGCGGCGGCGGTGGTGGCGGCGGCGGTGGCGGCGGCAGGCAGAGGGAGAAGCAGGCTCCCTGCTGAGCAAGGAGCCTGATGCGATGTAGGACTCAAGCCCAGGCCCCTGGGATCATGACCTGAGCCAAAGGCAGCCGCTTAACTGACAGCCACCCAGGTCCTCCACAACATGCATTTCATATAATGAGTTCATAGGGATTTTGCTTTGAGAACTGCACATCTTGAAATACCCGAAGACACTGATATTGTAAAACAAAGGAAATAACTAGTTAAAACAAAAATGCTTTTAAAACTGATGCTGCTGGAGGATATCCTTGTTTTTTTTAAGTCTTAAAATGCACACTGCTCAACTTTTCCTCCTTGAGTAGATAGTAGTCTGTCATCACCTTATTCATAGCAGGTCAGTCCCATTGGTAAGACATCAAATTACACGAAAAACCTAGGAAATGTGTAGAAACCAAATGGCCTAATACCACACAATGAATGATTGAACCTATAAAGTGTACATTAGAACATTAGAACGTTGCTTGTGAAAGACTTGACTTTTTAAAAAGATTTTCCTTGACAGAACAAGCAGGGGGAGCAGAAGAGGGAGAAGCAGGCTCCCCACTAAGCAGGGGAGCCCGAGGTGGGGCTCAATCCCGGGACCCTGAGATCATGACCCGAGCCAAAGGCAGAGGCTTAACCCACTGAGCCATCCAGGTGCCCCCAAAAGACTTGACTTTAGGAATATACCAGCCATTCAAAATCCTAATAGATGGTACTGGAAATTTAAAGAGGAAGAGAGAGCTGATGAAATGGGAAGGAAGAAAGGTGTGTGTGTGTGTGTGTGTGTGTGTGTGTGTGTGTGTGTGTGTGTTTTAGAGAGGTTTGAATAATAGACTAAAGCAGAAGAACTTCTCTCTCTCTTTTTTTTTTAGATTTATTTGACAGACAGAGATCACAAGTAGGCAGAGAGACAGGCAGAGAGAGGGGGGGAAAGCAGGGTCTGCATTGAGCAGAGAGCCCGATGCAGGGCTCAATCCCAGGACCCTGGGATCATGACCTGAGCCGAAGGCAGAGG